GGAGCACATCAGCCCAGTTCTACTGACCGTACTCTGGCTCCCTGCAGACTGTAAGACCTTCCAGACCTCTCAGGTCTTCTGGTTCTGCTCTGCTCTGCTTTCCCAGAACCAGAACCTTTAGCTTCCATGCACCACAAATCTGGACCAAACATGTGGAAAACCGGAAAACAGCCGAAACACTGAGTTCCTTTAAATAAAGGCTAAAAACTGTCAGCGCTGCCTTTGATTAGCATTAACTGAAACATTGATCAATGTATTTGATGTGTATTGGCGCAATGATGTGGATGATTGCATTTGTCAAAATTTAAGGTTTATTGCTTGTTTCATAATTGAATGTTTGATATGAAGCACTTTGAACTGCGTTGTTGCTGAAATGTGCTGAACTCGTCATCTTGTCTTGACAGTGATGGCTGCTGGGCTCTGTCTAGATCCAGAGAGGAGATAACTTGAGGCCGTAGGTTGGAGGTTTTTGTTCAGGGCTGTTGGATGTTTGGCGCAGTGTGCTTCCCTTGCAGCACAGAAGTAAGTTGCCGTGTGTTCGGCTTTCAGACCGACGATGGAAAGAGAGAGGTTCTTCTCGGCTGCCGCTAAATCTCCACCTAACCTAAAATGTTTCCTGAACTTTTCCTCCACGCTGTCGTTGCTGATCTGTCCGTATCCATATCCGATGAGGTTCAGAGCCTGGTCTCCAGGAGTCTTCTGGTACCAGAGTATCACTCTATACGATGACTGCTTGTGTGAGCAGAAAAGCTGAACATCGTCACTGGTGTTACCTACGATATTCGAAGGAAACTGGTGGATGTCAATCCCCAGAGAAAAACCTGCAAAAACGGGGGGGGGAAAAAAACTGTTGGAACAGGTAAATAAACGCATGTAGCCAAACAAATGATTGAAATTACCTGTAAGGCAACAGAAAATTAAAATGGCAATCATTTCGTTACTTTGATGGAGATTTTGTTGAAGTGATGATGATGAAGGCGATGAGTATGGTGAACTAAAAAAAACAAGCAGAAGAATGAGGAAATGATATCGGTCACGTGGTAAAAGGCGAGCAGCTGCTTCTTGACGTTCACCACCTCCTATCAGCAGCAAAGAAATGTAACCATCAGGTCATATGAGGCTTTTTGGTTCATTAAGCTTCTTAAAAGATGGAAGATAACATGACCTCTCGGTTTATCTTTACTGACAATTGTTTTCATCCAATGACCTACAAAAAACCTTACAATAAGAAAACTAGAAACTTATTGACTTATTGATATGTACTTCAGGGAAATTATTTGTTTTTATAATAATAATGAGCAATGATTATTAAACATGTCATCCCTAAATTCTAAAGTTTCTGCTTCCAGAAAATCCAGAGAAGTGAAGGCCATCAAGCATCGGCAAGCAATAAAATGACAAAAAGAACTTATGAATAAATAAATTAATGAAAGAATTTCATTTAAAAATACATTTTGACAGACAGATGTAGAGACATACTAGCTAGCTAGGCTAGCAGTCTATCTATAGATAATTAGCTAGATAGTTAGAGAATTATACATCGTAAGATGGTTAGATAATTAGCTAGCTAACTAGACAGATAATTAACTAGCTAGCTATTTTCTCTCTAGGTAGATATTTAACTAGTTAGCTGTCTAGATTGACAGAGATGGAAAACTTTGCTTCTCTGATAAAAGTAACAGATGTTTGTGACAGGGTTGTAAAACTTTCAGTAGAGCTATGCACAAGATAAAAATCTTGTGCATAGAGGGTCATTGAAATCCCTCTGCTGTTGAGTGCTGTAATTGCACTGTGATCTTATTTTTTGGGATGTATAATTTTTTTTGTATAGCTTTCCAGGCTAGTGAGACTGAGTAATATGCACACAATGACAAAAGTTTGTAAATTCATCCACTTCTTTATTATTAATATTCTATTATTATTATTATTATTATTATTAATAATAATTTTTTTTTTTTACTGGATTCATAGAATGAGATGGTGAAGACGTGCCTTTGCTGCTAGGATGGAAGCTTTCATAAAACTTTGTAAATGAAAATTACTTAAGGTCCTCTGCCTGGTTGTCTTCCTGATTATTTAAATAGAACCAAATACTAAAAAGAACAAAGCGATGTCTTAGAAAACACCCTCATGCACATATCAACCACAAACAGGCTCCATGGAAGACTGGAAACCACGGATGATAAAACCATTGAACAGTTTTTGTAACGTTCAAAGGTGTTTTTTTGTCGTTGTGCTTTACTTGCTGCACAGAAATAGAAAGCACTGTGCTTCTCCTCTGCAGCACTGATTGTCAGGGAGGCGTTTTTCAACGTGTTCACACTCAGATCTCCAGAAATGTTGAAGTCCTTCTTATACGTCTCCTCCATGGTGGCGTCTTTGTAGCTCAGATACCCCAGCAGGTTCATGGCTGTCTCTCCAGCTGGGCGCTGATACCAGAGCGTCACCCTGTAGTCGGTTTTATCATAGGTGCAGAAAATCTGAACTTTATAACCAGGTTGTGTGATGAGATCAGAGGGAGACTGATTGACCTCAACACACAGACTGACACCTAAAAGTTAGAGACAATGTTTAGTCATTGATTGTAAAAAGGCATGAATTGTTAAATTAACTACATTGTAATAATTTTTGTTTACCTGCAAGGTAAGAAAGGATGATGATGGGATTCATTTTACCTCTATAAGTTAAACATTTGCTAAAAATCCACCACCATAGGGCAGACAGAAAGCGTTTAGGTTTTGGCAGGTGGAGTCTAACCAGCAATGAAAGTGAATGTGCTGCTGATAGTGATGAGGATTTAACTGAACCCTGCAGAGGAAAGGGAAGTGACGAAGAAACACAAACCCTCAATGCACACAGCTGAAGTCAAAGGCTTCAGTTGAGGTTCAGCTGCTTTTCTGTTCAAAGAGTTCATATTAAGCCTTGAGTTTTGTATATATATTTTTTTTACATTTTGTCATGTTACAATGGCAAATTTCAATGTTTTAAATTGGGATTTTATGATGGAACAACAGAAAGTGATACTGAAGGATGAAAAAAAGCCACTGGACATCAAACTTAAAGGTAATCAAAAACCATGTGGCGGACAAAATGAAATATAAATGAATAAGATCTGATCAGGTGAGACCCTAACTGAACTTTTTAGATTGCAAGTACATGGATGTCAGAAAACTAACCACAGCATCACCCTGATCAAACCATCCCCATGGTAAAACATGGCAGTGGCTGCATCATGCCTTTTTTGTCTGTGTGAAAAGCTAGTGACTTTCCTGGAAGAAAACAGCTTGGAGACATCAAAAGTCTTGAAACTAAAGCAAAGGTTCACCTTCCAACCTCAGATGTAGCCACTGAGCCACAATGACATGATTTGGATCAAAACATGTTCAAGCGTTAGTATGACCTAGTCAAAGTCCTGACCTAAGATGAGCTGAGATTTGAACAACCTTGGAGCTGATGTGTAAAGAAGAAACAAGTGAAGTCTCTATATGTGTAAAGCTTGTCAATGTTTTTATAGCAGGCAGCATTTCTTTAATTCGTTACCTGACTACAAATGCAAGCCACACTTTTCAGATTTTATATGTAAATTTTTTAATCCATAAAAATTTTACATCTACTTTACAATTTTTATCACTTAGTGTTTATTGCATCAATCCCTATTAATTAAATTAAATTAAATTCAAAAATACTTTATTAATCCCAAGGGAAAATAAAATGTCTTAATTTATTAATCAATTTATTTTACAATTAATTTAAAATTAAGGTTTCCTACAGCGATGGGTCACAATGTGGATGTGATAAAACTGAAGATGAAAACATTTATGACCTCCTCCTGTGTAAATCTTTGGGCTTAGTGGGTAACATGGCTCCCTGTCCAGGGTGGGTTTCCACAGAGGGGCGCCAAAATCACCATAAACTAAAATCTGCTAACAATGCAGTACTGAATAAGACTGACTGGTCATGCATGCATCAACCACAATAAAGCAGCAGGCTAGCTAGCAGAGCGGATTAACCAGCTGCTATCAGATTATCAATCGTTTGTCCATTTGCTCTTTAAAGAGAAAATTTGCAAAACCATAAGCCAGGGGTCCCCAAACTTTTTCCTGTGAGGGCCACATAACTTTTCCCTTCTCTGGTGGGGGCCGGAGTCAGTTTGTAACAGAAAAAGTGTGACGATTGCAGGAGTGCCTAAATGTAAAAATGTATTGTTTTCCAGAAAGCACAAATAACTCTCTCTGGGATCTTCACAGAACAAAAGTCAGGAAATAAATAACACTATTAATGAAATAAATAAAAACTAAATAACCCTCTCTGGGTTCTTCACAGAAAAAATCCAGGAAGGATTATAGTCCGTATTTTCCGAATTATGAGCCGCACCGGACTATAAGCCACAACCCCAAAGGTTTTTGTTAAAAAAAGAAAACCAGTAAACATACACATATAAACCACAGATATCTCTAAAACCTAATTCCATTTTAATGGGCACTTTCTTCTTTTATTTCCAATTTTGACTTCCAATGATTCACTTCCTGCTAAAGAGCCCCCTGGTGGTTGAAGAAAAATGCACATATAAGCGGTTTATAGTCCGAAAAATACAGTATATGAAAAAAAATCTGAATGCTCTCTGGTATTGTTCAGGGGGCCGGACCAAATGTGGAGGCGGGCCAGATCCGGCCCGCAGGCCGTAGTTTGGGGACCACTGGCATAAGTGAATGTGCATCTTAATAATCATCATCTGAGCAGCAGTAGGACGAACAGTTGCTATTCTGTTTGAAGTAAAAGCAATCAGATCATGTTATAGATAACTGGAGAAATCATCCCAGCCTTTTTCACCACAAGTTTCTGTTTCTACTTGAAGTTAAATTCAAACACAAGCTGAGGTTGACGCTCCTGTGGTTCCAGGGAAACTGATCAAACTTTAGAGACGTTGAATCATAAATCATTTTTTGATTCCCAGCTCCCCCTAGTGGAGACTTTTAAAAGTGCAGACATGGGTTTCTGATTAACTCTGTTTTATTGGCAGTCGGTTTTTGTTCAGCTGTTGTATTTCCTCACATCACTGTGTTTGCTGACAGCACAGAAATAAATGCCGCTGTCATCAGGCTGCAGGTCCTTCACAGTCAGAGCTCCGGTCTCTATGGCGTCTTTGACTGCTGAGTATTTGCTCTGCAGGTTCTCTCCGTAGTCGAGCTGCCCACCGAACGCCGTGTACACAATGAGGGTCATGGTCTCCCCTGGTCGCTGTCGGTACCAGTACATCTGGGTATGAGAAACGTCTTTTTTGTGGCTGCATTTCATCTCGGTCGATTCAGACTTCAACCTCCAACTGATGGTGGGATCCTGGATGACGTCCTGGCAGTGAACTGTGAAGAAAAGAAAAAAATCTTTTATTTAAAATAAAATCAAGTTAATTTACACTAAATTTCTTTATTGAAAGACTAAATTCTAGAAAATCTATTCAATATTTCTAAATTTACCTTGAATTCTCAATGAAGAGAGTAGAAGTATAAGAATTTGCAACATCGTTTTAATTTTAAATATTCAGTGTTTAGAATCTGTCGCTTTGTGGTCCAACAGAGATGTGCTGAATATTTCTGGGAGGATAAATAACGTGTCACTTCACAGAAGCTCCTCCCCTTTTAGAAAGAAGAACGAGAGGTTGATCAAAACGAGTCGATCCAGGTGGAAATCTGTCAAACGTTAACTGAGCAGCAAAGTAAATGTTTTACTCAAATGTTCTGTATCACAACCCATATAGTGATGTACCACAGAAAGCCTAATTATAAATTGCTTGGTTCGGCAGACGGTGAGGTTTTTGTACTGATGAGCCGTGGCTGTGCAGCACTGTGGTAACTGGCAGCACAGAAGTAAACCCCACTGCTGCTTTCATTCAGCTCCTTAATCATCAGAGTGCAGGTCTGGTCTCTGTCCGCACTCCCTTCCATCTTCACATCCACTCCAGGTTCTAGAAAGCTTTCTCCCAAAAACCGATACCCCAGCAGCTGCAGCTGTTTGTCCTCTAGTTTCTTGTACCAGAGGATTACATTGTAGTTCTGGACACTGTGGGAGCAGCTGATTCTGGCTGCTTCTCCTCGATTTTCCACAATGTTCAACGGCGTCTGGCGGACCTGATCGCCAAGAGAAGCTCCTGTAGAGGAAGACGCCCCAAATTAAGTCAGAAAATTCAACTAAAACATCAACAGTGGACCTCTGTACCGAAAGCTGTGGTCACCTGAAAACAGCACAGCGTTGAGAGCGATTATCAAGAGTTTGACTCTCATTCTGTTGGTTATTATTGTGTGATGTTCTCAGCAGCTCAACAAGTTGCTCTTCGTCTTTTCCTTTGAGGTGACAGCAAAAAAAAACCCTGCTAGGTGGGCGTGGTTAGACCAGACGTGAATATTATCGCATTAGTCATGACACATGGTCTCGCCTCATCAAAGGAGGTGATACAGCTGTGCGGGAGTGTGAGGAGGTTTATGCACTGAGGAGCAGAGACATGCAGCACTGTGGAAACGGGCAGCACAGAAGTAAACCGCGCTGCTGTCTGGGCTCAGTCCTGTAATGGTTATGGTGCACGTTTTGTCTTTGTTGGCGTCGCCGTCTATTGTCACGTTCAGCTCCTTGTCTGGGAATGAAGCGGTTCCGTACATGTATCCCAGCAGCTGCAGCTCGCGGTCGTCCGTCTGCCTGTACCAGAGGATTTGATCGTAGCTCTGAATGCGGTGGGAACAGCGGATGGCGAGTGTTTCGCCCTGGTGTTTGAAAACGTGGTCAGGAATTTGGACAATTTTTTCACTCGGAGAGGAGCCTGTGGGAGAGGCGACGAAAAACGAGAAATGACTGGGAAGCATGAGTTCAAACCAAAGGAAATTTTACGTTATTTCGAGAAAAAAAAAGAAAAAAAAGTCAAAATTCATCCTCAAAATCAGCAGTTTACCTGAAACCAGTAGGGCCTGCAGGCTTATGCAGCAGAGGAGGAACATTGCCGGTTCTGGTTGGGGCCAGTTTGCCCTGAAGCTCTGTTGTAATCACAGATCTAAGCTATCATGGGAGGAGCCTCCATGTCTCCTCCTCTTTCCAAAAGTCAAACTGCTCTGATTTTGCATTTTTACATTCATAATAATCTTGAACTTACCACATTCAGAATTGGATTCCACAGAAAATAACAAATACCAACAAGGTTTCCCCCAGAAAACTTGCTAAGCCCGATATGAAAAGTTCTGGCTAGAGAACCTTTCTGTTGTTCACAGTAGCCTCAACAGACTAATAATACAGCTAAGTGTTTAAATAGTTAAAATTATTCAAATTAAACCTTCCTGGATGTTAAATTTCTGGAGTAATATGCTTAACAAGTAATTTCAACTATAATTTATTTTTAAAGTACAGCAATTACTGAAAGAAATGTAACAATTTATTTTTCTAGTTATTTTTTTAGTAATTTTTCCCAACCATACTGCTTTCTAACCATACACTCAGACCAAATATTTATTATGTAAAAGAAATGTCATACTTTGGTGATGAGTTAACATTTTTTAATTAAACTGTAACCAAAATAAAAATTATTCACAGCAGTATCTTTGGAAAAAACACCACCCTCTAGTGGGCAAAGTAAGATTACACATCTCATTATGATCAGCCTCTCCTCCCCTGTGGTTTTGTTGAATACTATGTTATCAGCAGGTGAACGATGGTTCCCTCGGTAACAGAGAAGGTTGCATCACACAGACTTTTTGTAGAGGGGGAGACATGAAGCGAGTCACTGTGTCTACTAGCTGCACAGTAATACATGCTGCTGTCTTCTGGCTGCAGTTTCTCCACATGGAGCTCAGATTTCTTTGAGCCGTCTCCTTTTATATTGAAGTGACCTTTGAATTCATCCTCCATTGTTGGACTTTCATACAAAGTATGACCGACTAACTTGAGAGCAGAGCCGCCAGTCGGCTTCTGGTACCACAGGATCACGTTGTATGTGCTGACTGAGTGGCTGCAGGTGATTGTTGCAGGACCCTGAAGAGTTCCTAATATTGATGGTGGTTCCTGCTGGACATCACTGCTCAGAGAACAATCTGTGTTGAAAGGAAAAAAGAAAGTTAAGAAAGATGGACGTGAAAATATACTTATCTATAAAACGTTTGGAGTCCAACCTACAGCAGCAGCAGAGCAGCAGCAGAGTGATGCTGCTGAGGTTTCTTGTCATTGTCTCTGCAGCTTCTGTTTGTCTCTACAGGGACCGACATGCTCAGCACATTTTACTGGTTGTGATGGGCTGTGTGCTGAAGGCGGAGCTTCGGAAAGAACAGGAGCTTCTTAAAGAGACAGAGGCCCAATTTCAAAGCGTTAATTGGCAAAATCATTTTTTTTTTGTAATGTTTTATATAATAGCATTTTTATAATAAATGAAGGTAACATAGTTACTTGATTGTGCTATAAAATGGTATTATGTGGCTAGAAAATACATAATACTGCTCATTTAACATAATATAAGGGTCATATCCATTGTTTATGACCCATTTTTACTTCTCCAAACGGATAACCTCCCATTATCGTCTTTTTATCCATTTAGTGATTATGGAAATTTCAGCACTTCAAAACACAATTCAACACTGAAGGCCTTGTTTTTCTGGATTTCTTACCAAATTCACTTTGTTCATAGTGAGTTTATATGAGTAATAATAATAACAAAAGAAACTTTGTACATTCAGCAGACGTTTCCAATCAGACAGCGACAGTATGAGTGGTAAAAAACAGAAACACAGATGACTCCATTGCAGTGAGTTAAACTCAGAGTGTGATGTCGGCTCATCACTAGAGATGTGAACCGTCGGATACGGGAGTGTGTCTCTGAGACACTTCCAGCTGAGGGGAGAAGTGCTCTGAGGTTTTTGTTCGTCTCTCCCGTGTGGTTTCATCACTGTGTTGACTCACAGCGCAGAAGTACAAGCCTTTGTCTTCTGGCTTCAGGTTCTTCACTGTGAACGATCCTCTCTCGGCTTCAGTCTTGGACGCTGAGAATTTATCTTTACTGAAATCTCCAAAGTCGTGGTCTTTTGAAGCCGTCGACGTGAACACGACGAGTTTCATTGTTTCTCCAGGCAGCTGTCGGTACCAGTACATCTGGAAATAGCCAGCACCCTTGGTATGACTGCACTCCATCGTTGCATCTTGACCCACAGATTTCCACAGCATCGGGGTTTGGGAAACATGGCTTCCGCCGACAAAACCTGGGGTTGAACAGAGCAGAAATGTCTCGCAAAATGTTGATCAAAACATAATTATAATTTTTTTTTATCTAAGTATCTTTTTAATCACCTGATGTCCACAGGAGAAAGACGGAAACCGAGACGAGGATCTTTGGCTGCCTGATCATAATGTGGAGCTGCTGTTATGAGCTGCAGGGAGGAGAATCACCAGACATCCACCTTGTATCTCTGTGTGATGTGGTTTTGTGGTCTGCTGTCAGTATGCTGAAGCATCCATCTATTGCAATGATGGCTGTAACTGTGCCAGTTCAATGATGTGCAGAAAAATATAGAAAGTTGACTTTTAGTTATCATCTAAAAATTTGTTTTGAGGTTTTTTTTTCAGACTCAGAGTAAAAATAAGGTGCGCATATAGGCGTTATACAACTAAGGAGGATTTGTGGGCAAACAGTTGGAGAAAATAATTTAGAAGTTAAAGTTCTTTAAAGGGGCAGTACTATGTATGTTCCAAAGAGTGCAATTTTAAAGCACAATCAAGTCTATTACTTTCATTTCCAAAATATGCAAATATGACTTAAAAGAAATTTGACTTCATAATTAACGCCTTGAAATTGGCCCTCTGTCTCTTTAAGACACTCCTGCTCTCTCTGAAACTCTGCCTTCAGGAAGTCATCACAACATGGCTCCTCTATTAACTCTTTAACAACATTTCTACCAGCGTTGCTCTGAGATGAAGCTCCTATAATGAACTCAGTAGAGGCTCAGCTCCACCAGGTGTTTGCTAATTGCTGCTGGCTAGTCTGAAGGTACTGAGTGAGGAAGTTGTGTAGGCTTATCCAGAATCCAGAGTGCTACATTGGGCTACACGCTATACAATGTTAAACCCCCTCCACGTTATTTCAAAAGGGCACTTTTTTCCAAAGAGGTCAAAGGGCATGTACTCTTTGCTGCCTTTGCTTCCAGAATTCGCAGAAAAGTATCTGCCAGGAGAATTTCCAAGCCATCATCTTAATAAAAGCTCTCAGTCTGACAGATTCAGTGAGTTTAACCAGATCATCAAGAACTTTAGACAAGAAATTACACTACAGGGATGCAAACTTAAGAAACAAAAGTTTACCAAGTATTTCCACCCCCTTTTTTCTAATGCAAATATCAGTACCCTTGAAATAAGACTAAGCTAACATACAAGAGACTTTTCAGCAGGATATAAAAGTTTGATTTAAGTAAACGATTGCTTAATATTGATTTTTAGAAAAGTACTTGTTCAACTAGCAGAGTTTCCCCCTTATAATATGGGAAAAATGGCCTAGGTAAAAAAAAAACATCTGCCAAATTTAGTATTTTTGTATATTTCTACAGGTAAAGAGTATGAAACATCTAAGAAAAAAAAATCACTTTTGGCTTTAGGCTGTGAAGTGATTAGCATTGTGATATATTGACTCCTGACCAGATTAGACATTTTTATTTTGGATATAAAGGTTGAAGACAACAGAAATAAAAACAAGTGATAGAAAGCAGCAGAGCTTTATTTAGTAAACAATTACATCATAAAATATTATTCTTGGTGCTTGGAGTTACATTATTATTATTATTATTATTATTATTATTATGCTTCTCATTCTGATGCATTGAATTTCGTTTTTGTGAGTTTGTTCATCTCTAAATCAAATAACTTGACCTAAAATCTCTTCAAGTTCAGAGATTTGTTGCTCTGATTGACAGCAGTGTTGCAGGCTGTCCAGCAGAGGGCGCCCGTTGCTCTGAATGGTCGCTGTTCATGTGAAGGAAGCAGAGAAAAATATGAAACCAGAATACATGTAACAACACTTCACTTTATTTCCTGTTTTTTTCTGAAAGCTGATCTGATTATTTTACACTAACAAATGTCAACAATGGTTGCCGCATCTGTCCAGTTAAAGCGCCAAACTAAATGTCTTCATTAACAACTACAAAAGTGAGATTTAATAGTATCTTTACTTTAAAGATTGTTTTATTATAATGTGTCAACTGGTTGATGCTCAAGCTGATGGATTTCCTGTTTTTATATCAGGTTAAACCATTAGGAGGGAATGTGTCACATGTATGTTGCCACGGCCAAAACAATTTTTATGCAACTTTATTAAAAATAGATTTATGAAACCAATTTAATCGTTTTGAGCTGTTAGTAAGTGAATTTATTTAGACCACGCCGATGTTTCATAAGACTCCAAGTGCTGTTTTTGTCTGGTTTTAGCAGTGAATTAGTTTAACCAAATTTACATGATTTAGTTTTATTTATTTCAACATGTGAAATATCTCATTTATGAAGCTACAACATGGTTCAAATTCAGAAATACTTTATTGATCCCAAAGGGAAATTTAATTCAAAATTCTTCAGTGTTGGCTCAAATGGTTCTATTAAAATTTCAATGTTGTGTAACCTTGCGATTGATTAAACTCTTAACTATATAACTATATATTTTACGCAGATGTGACGGACAGCAGTAATGTAATGAGAGCTCAGAACTACAATTGAAACTCCAGCTTGTAACTAGTTAAAATGTTTGTTACATGCTGAAATTATCTATTCTATCCTAAAAAAATATGAATGCCTTTTTTTTACAGGATTTTATGCAACAGTCTGACAAAAAATGGGAAATTACAGTGAAGTGGAAAGAAAAATAATATATGATTTAAAACATTTTCTACAAAAAAAAAACTAATTAGCATCCATCCTCCCCTGAACAGACTGTTTGCAGCTCCACCCTTTCCTGTAATCGCAGCTGCAAGGCTTCTGGGGTCTGTTTCTTTACACCTACTGTAAGTTTAACCCATTTTTCATTGAGACGGTTGGTGAGCTGTTTTTACCGTATGTGAAACATCTGATCTGTAGACATCAATTCTCTGTTAGGTGAAACTTGTACTTTGACTGGGAAACTCTAACACATAAATATTGTTGTTTTTAAAGTCACTGTCCAACCATTTTCTCAACGCTTTTGCACTCTGTAACATTTTTAAACCAGCTTTCCTGTCCGTGTGGAAGAAAAGTTTTCAGTTAGTTTCTGTCACATGTTGGGTGTTTGTATGTAAAGATCAAATTTTATTTCATTTGATCAGGGCAGCTGAGCCAGTCCAAAAAAAATAAATAAAGATTTTTGTGTATACTGTGTATGTTTTACAAACGTTACGCCTCATATTAAAGTCACATAATGTGACAAAAAGTGAAAAGGTTAAAGGGCCATGAATTATTTTGCATGGTATTTTAACAAAAATGATGTTTTGCAATATAATCTGTAATCTAATGAATTTGATGATGGCATCTGACTAAAATGTAATATTTATTGCTTGCTTTTCATAATTCTTTTTACAATATGATGTTTTTATGATACAAAGCACTTTGACCTGCTATGTTGCTGAAATGTGCTACAAAAATAAACTTGATAAGGTGGCAGTGAATTGGAGGGATATTTTGTGACAGTTTTAGTAGGAGGAGAATAATTAGACATCAGATGTCAGAGAAAACCTGAGTCTGTTGCTGCCTCACATCTGTTTCCTGTCTTTTTTTCAGAACAAACATGTTTTTTAAAGTAACGGATATTTTCTCAGTTTGACTCGGCGCGAGAACAAACAAAGTAAAATATCTGAGGATGATTCAAAAAATATAAATGGGCCGCAGAATGCTGCTGTTGTCTTACAGCAAAAAAAGTGAAAAAAAAAGTAAATAAATTAAAACAAAACAAAAAATCCTAAATTTTACTGTAAAACACCAAATGTCCACTGTAAAATTATTAGTATTTTTTTTTTCATGACATTATCGTCATTGATTTTTACGGTTAAAAAAAGTGTTTTACTGTAAAATAAAACTTTTCAACTTACTGAAAAAAAATTACGAATAAAATGGATATACAAATGTAAAACGCACAAATTACAGTTTTCACCAATTAATTTATTTATGGCAACTTTGCATCAAACAGCTTGAAGTTGTTTAATAGTTTAGATTTTTTCCGTCACAATTTTACCGTTTATCGCTGTTAAATATACAGATGTATCTCTAGGATGTATTCTGAACACACAAACAATGGAAAATGTATATAAAAAAATTTAATTTAAAATAAATGAACTCATTTCAAGGTTTCACCCCAGATCACCTTAAATTGCAGCTGCTGTAACACATTTGCTGTAACCTGCTCGGTTTTCAGCTTCGGTTGAGACAGAAATGGAGCCTGTGCCAGCTGTTTGCTTCAACACACACAGTGTGCATGTGTGTGTGTGTGTGTGTAGGAGGTGCAGGTGCAGTCATAGAGCCGGAGGTTGCGGTAAAGGTCGAAGGTTGCGAGGCTTGTTTCTCAGCAGGCTGCTCTGCGACCGCATCCTGTCGCTCTGCAGCAGCTCGCATCAGAACCCTGACTTCCTGTTCTCACATGCAGAACGCTCTCTCTGACAAAGCTCCAGAGAACGGAAACCATAGCAACCATCTCACTATATGCAGAGAAAACTAGAATATTTAGATGTAATATGAAGAAGTAGTCAAAAAGCTGAAAAACTTTTTTTTTTCTTTTTTTTGATTCTCATTATGACTCAGTTAAAAAAACATACAAGTTCCTGAGATAAGATGTTTCAACTTCATGCTGAGAAAAAAAAAGATTTCTTGGAAAACGGACAAAATATCTGACACAATCTTTGGAACAAGTGATGAGAAGAGAGAGAATAAAATCATCACAGTAACAAAAAGATTTGCTTGCGTGTCTTTATTGAGAAAATACATGAAAAGATTACATAGAAAAAGCTGAACAAAAACACAGAGAGCTTTTAGGTTTCAACAAGAAAACCTGCATGTTTTTAACAATCAGGATGTTCAGGTCAGAAACACGTCTCCACCTGCCATTTTCACACATTTAATTTACAGAAGCTAAAAATAATGAAAAAAAAAAAAAGGTTTCTGCTGAAGGTTCGGCTCTCTCGGCTCTCACTCCTGCCGTTTTTTTGGTGAACGCTGCAAAACAAACAGGAAAGAAAATGTGATAATCAGTGGTGTTTTTATCATACCAAAACCAAAAAGCCAGAACAGAATTTCAGAAGCTGCATCACAATATAAGTTGAAATCAAAATGGCCGTCAACTTAAAATAAAAATCTTAATCCTCTTTAGAATTTATTTTAAAAGTAGATAAAAAAAAATCACCTGATTTGATATAAAATGAAATATCTTTTAAGCTCTTGCAAATTTTTGGCAGTTTCTAATTTTAAAAAAATGTTTCACCTATATATATTGATGTTAAACTATACTTAAATAATGTACCACTGCCCATCCACCAACCTGGTGGTTCCACTGTTGTCTTTACATCATTTATTTATTTGGACCTTTTCTATGAATCAAATAATCCAGCGGCTTCTTGTGAATACACCAGTACAGTGTTTATTTTACTCAATCCTCTCATCTGCAGTCAGTTATATTGGTGATCACTGTTTGTGTTCTTCTTGTTGCCTTTGCTGTCTGTCCTGCTGCTAATCTAATCTGGTTGCATCAGTTTCAAACTAACACCATTACCAGCTAATTTCAGGTTATATTGGGGAAGTTTAGCTAAAGCTGCAGACTGTAATACAGACCTGAAGCTTCCAGACCAGAAAGCAGACCAAGACGGCGTAGAGGCAGCTCTTCAGGATCATGGCGCTGTAGGAGAGTTTGGCGTTTTGGCTGATCCTTAAATATCTCTCTGTTTGGGGAGATCGGGAAACGTTAGAGCTGTGGAGGCTAATGGCCGACCTGTTAGCAAATGTAAACATACTTAAAGTGATTAATGTATATTTTTACCTCTTGTCATTCCTGTATCCGTTTCATTTGCTGAAAGACACAAAAAGAAAGAAAATGACACCATTACTAAACCTGAAGCATAAGAAGTCACTAAAGGACGTTTGTTTTCTGAAAGTGACGTACTATAAATAGACGTTGAATAGTTTGTGTAGGTTCCATTAAAGAATGTGACGTAACAACTGAATTCATTGTCAGGATTGAACCAGGTCTTGGCCTGCAGCCTCAGCCTGCTGGTGATGGAGTACAGTCCTGTGATTTCATTCCTCTTGGCGGCGGCGTCGGTCGCCACACCATCAGTGATGTTCTGGCCGTTGAGCTGCCAGAACACGGTGACATGATCCGGGTAGAAACCAGACGCCACACACACCAGGGTCTTCCTCCTTTTGCCCTCTTTCTTCTTCTGGTCTCTGCACTCAAGGGGTGAAGGTCGAAGGATTTTCACTGTTGGTGCAGTGACATCCACTCCATCTTCTGTTTATTAAAAGAGATAAAATAAAACAAGTTACTCAGATCTGTACAGTCAAAATCTGAAACAATAACAGGAATCATCACTGGTCTTCTCCTTTTATTAGTATTTTCTTCTTACCAAGAACTGTGAGTTTGGTTCCCTCTCCAAAATAAGCAGGATAAGAGTCGGAGCACAGAACTCAGTCACAGGTAGAAAACCCAACACTCAGTTTATGTTTTCTACATGAACCAGAACGCTGACACACAAAATTTATCTCTTATGTTTTTAGATTTTCTTTCAGCATATTCCCTCACACCTTTGGGACTTTAATTCAGAGGAAAAAAAGTAAAATACATGATGTTTTTTATCAGGCAGAAATCTTAAGATTTCATAAAGTCACAAGGTTAACAACTGTTAGTCCAGATGAAAACTGTTCCCTTTTTTCATTGAAATCTACTAGTTTCTACTGTCTAAAGCAAATTTAAAAATATTATTTGATTAATATCCATTTTTTTTAACTTAAAGATGCTTTTTGGTAATTTTTCTTACCTAAAACTGTGAGTTTGGTTCCCTCTCCAAAATATGGAGGATAAGAGCCGGAGCACAGCACTCAGTCACAGGTAGAAAACCCAACACCCAGTTTATGTTTTACACATGAATCAGAACTCTTCATTTATCTCACTTTGATGTTTTATTTTCAAATTTTGTCTTGACGTATCCCTTCACACATCCTGAACTTTAAATCAGTCATAAATAAAATGGATATGTTTTTTTTAATGGCAAAACATTTCTCTCTTTCTGTCTTTTTGTACTGAAGTGAATTATTTTCTACCCATGTAGAAAAAACCAAAAACAAGAACTAGAAATCAAACTATTTGATATCATTTGTACACTTATATAAATGTGCCTTTTGGTTGTTTTTCTTACCTAAAACGGTGAGTTTAGTTCCAGCTCCAAAGTAAGCAGGATCGTAGTTCACACTGATAAACGGCTGCAGGCAAAGCTGCCGCCGTCTTTAACCTCTTTTACACCCAAACATAATTTTAGACCCAAAACAAACTCTTTATCACCAAAATGTATTTTCCCTCCAGATCAGAGTATTTTCTAAGTGCCATTAGAACTGTTTGCCACCAAATTAAGTAATTTTTTTTAAATAAATACATTTGAGTTTCTTTCCTAAAACAGTGAGTTTAGAACCAGCTAAACCCCAGAGAACCCCAACAAAACCTCTTCCTGCTGCCTCTATAAATCCTTTCAATACTTATATTTTTATCATGTGAAAACTGATTTCATATAAGTTGCATTTTTGGGAGGAGAACTTCATTTCTACAACTTCTTTTCTCAGTAACTGAATAAACTTTAACATGTTTTCTTACCTAAAACAGTTAATTTTGTTCATCTGTGCTAAAAACTCATCAGCTGTGTGAATTTACATCTTTATATTCCATTTATGGAACAAATGTAGCTTTTTCCTTTGCATTAAACAACAACTACTCTGAATAATGTTGGCATGGATCTGTCGGTATGAGAGAAATGTAAACATGTTTTTAGGATTCGAGACGTTTCACTCACCGAGAACGGTCAGTCTGGTTCCCTGACCAAAGTAAGCTTCGTACTGACACAGTGTTTACGCTTCACGCCAAAAAGCACAGAGCTGAAACTTTCCACAGCGCCGGATCAGCAGATTCTTTTATTCACATTATTTCCAGCCAAACAAATTTCTATATTCACTGTGATTCTTAAGTTATTAACTTTTAAATGACCTTATTCAGGATGTTTCTTACCTAAAACGGTTAACTTTGTTCCTGCGCCGAAGAAAGCTTCGTATCCAGAGTCACAGTGTGGACTGTCAGTACCCAAAACCGCTCAAGTTTCTGATTTGACATCGGCTCCTTTTGCAGTTTTCTTAACCTCGAGCTTTTATTTAAAGGTACAGCGACCTAATTTTTATCAAATTGCTACAAACCACCCAGTAAGCAGCGTGTTTCTCTTTACTCTAACTCTCCTGACTTTGTTCTGTCAAATAACATAATTTAAACAACAAAAACATAAAATGTAAAAGTATATTTTATTAAAAAGACCCTCAATTATTTGAGGTTTCTTACCTAGAATGGTTAACTTAGTTCCTGCTCCAAAGTAAGCTTCGTTGTAACCAGAATCACAGTGAAGCAGATCAGTGCAGGATGTTACTTTAGAAATGGATTCAACTGTTCATCTCACCGACTAAAATTTAAACCTCCCTTCAGTCTGAAACATGTATCTGTAATATTACTACTTCCTAATCTTTATTTGATTTTCAAAATTGTCTTAAAAATGACGCTTTACTCACCTAGAACAGTCAGTTTTGTTCCCTGACCGAAATAAGCTTCGTTGTTGGCACAGAGCTTCAGCTTAATGTCAAAAAGTGCCAAGTTGAACTTGAACTATAAGTAGCAACACTGTCTCTATGCTAACGTTGTAGAAAACTGGTGGTTTTAGCTCATTTTAATACATCTCTTACTCACCTAAAACTGTCAGTTTTGTTCCTTTTCCAAAGTAAGCTTCGTTGGCGTTGTCACAGTGCAGCAATACTGAACATGAACCTGTTTGCCTCTCAGATTTAACTTCATAAAGCCGACAGAGGCTCTAGTCAAAGTATTATTCATTAAAACTCTGAAATATTTACCTAAAACTGTGAGTTTGGTTCCTTGGCCAAAGTAAGCAGGTTCTCTGTTGGTCACAGTGCTCTGAGTTCAGCTCAATATGTCAGAACTTAAACTGGACGGATTCGACCATCACTTTTTACTGAACTGTTCAGTTTCATCATGACGAAGAGAACTGAACATGTGAAGAGTTAAACTTACCTAAAACTGTGAGTTTGGTTCCTTGACCAAAGTAAGCTTCATCATTGTCACAGTGCAGTGATACTGAACATGAACCTGTTTTTCTACCAGAATTAACTTTATGAAGACACGTCTGTCTGTACAGAGGTCCTAATCAAAGTATTATTCATTAAAACTCTGTAATAAAGTGAATATTTACCTAAAATTGTCAGTTTGGTTCCTTGACCGAAGTAAGCAGGTTGAGTGTTGGTCACAGTGCTTCAACTTCAGGTTAATACAGCCAAACTTTTAAACTCTAAATATTTTTCTTTATTCCCATCTGAGCTTTGAATTATGTTTAAATCTAATTGAATGAAGTGAACATGTGAGAATCCAACTTACCTAAAACTGTAAGTTTGGTTCCTTTTCCAAAGTAAGCTTCGTTTCCAGTGTCACACTGAATCTCTCCTGGACCAAAAAGTCTCCAAACTTTCCAGAATCTTCTCCCTCAGACCGGCTGTAATAACCCAGATCATCAGGAAGGTTAAACCTGCAGGATGAGCTTCATAACGTTTAAAGAAGTTGTGATTTCTGACCCTGAGGAACACATGACCCGATGGCTCCATGTATAAACTCAAACATGTGTTAATAAAAGCTGTTCTGTTTCTGGTTCATTTTCTACATATTAAAGTGTTTCTTAAAGCCTGGCTGAGCCTCCACTCTGCCCACCTCCACCTGCTTCCTGCTGCTGCTCTCTGTGCTGCACTCAGCCGTCCACATGATGGATGTTAATGCGAGGAGGTTTTTGTACGGCGGCTCTATAGGATTGTATCACCGTGGCCCCCTGTCCCCACGGTGGAAAAGCATCACACAAAAACCTGCTGCCTCCGTCTCTCCCCGCTCTCCGCCCCCCCCAGCCAGCCTCTCCGTATCTCAGCCTCCATCTGAGTCTCTGTGGGAGCAGCTGTGGAGGTCGGGCCGACTTGACGCTGGAGCAGCTCCAAGCTGCCTGCTGCTATTTCTGGGTCGGCTAAGAAAAGAAGGCAGAGCAGAGGACAGGAAGCTGCTGGCTGCTTTTGTTTGTTTGGAGGTGTAAACAGGAAGTGACACGTCAGCTGGTCATGACTCTGCAGCCAATCAGTCAGCAGAGAGAGAATTGGTTCACTTACATTTATATCACATTTATATCTAATCTCTATTTTTAAAGAAATGAGAGACTGAGGAATTGGGAAGTTGAAGTAGGTTCCTGAGTATGGAGTTAAATTGGGGCCATAACATTTGCACAGAAGTTTGCTTTGAAAAGATTTGATACTGAAAATAAAAGAATTGAGACTGAAAAGTAGTCTTGAACTTTTTTTTTCAGTTTCAATTATTATTATTTACTTTTATTTATTTTTTCAGTTTCCGTTTCTGAAAAACATTTTTTAAGAAACTTTATGGCCTCAATTTAAAGTCATATCTGAAAACTGTGTGTTAAAGCAGTGTTTATCAATTCCGGTCCTCAGACCCCCCTGCCCTGCATGTTTTAGGTGTTTCCTTTCTGCCACACCCCTGAATTGAATCTGTGGGTGATTAACAAGTTTCTGCAGTACTTGATGGCTGCAGAAGAGGTCGTGCAATCTTTTGGATCAGCTGTTCTGGAATAGAGGCACATGCAGAACAGAGGGGCCTGAGAACTGGAATTGAGAAACCCTGGGTTAGAATGATCCCAAGTAAAACATTTGACAAAAAAATCAGATTTCTATTAATACAGAACATTTCTATAACGTAATACAGTCAGTTGGTCCAAAAATGAAGAAACTTTGAGTTTTTCACAGAACATGCTGTGTTCTGGGTTTGACAATCCACTGTTAAATTATTTTCACTCATCCCTTTAACTATGCGTTATATATTTGAAAAGTAGCATGACCACAATACTGATAAATTATAATTTCATAAGAATTACATTCCTACTGTTACTTAATCCATAAACCGTTTGAATAAATTTGGAGGTGTTGCCAAGGGTACAGTCTGTGTGTTTAACCTGGTGATCAGCAGCACAGGAGAACCACAGGGCTCTGTACTCTCACCATTACTTTTCACTCTGTGCACTTCTGACCTCCAGCACAAATAAACTTCTGCCATTTACAGAAACACTCAGACGACTCTGCAGTTGTTGGTTGCATTAGAGATGGACAAGAGGCTGAATACAGAGATGTGGTGAACCGCTTTGTGTCATGGTGAGGAAACGATCATCTCATCTTCAATATAAACAACACGTAGGAGATTATTGCTGATTTTAGGAGAAACAAGATTAGATCAAACCTTATTTCCATCATGGCAGAAGAAGTGGAGGTGGTCGAGGAATATAAATACCTCAATGTTCATCTGGACAACAGACTGGACTGGAGACGCAACAGACGACTCTGCAGAGAGTCGTCTGTTGGGGCAGCAGCATCAGAAGTAGGGACCTGAAAAGGCTCAACAGGCTGATAAAGTCTGGTTCTGTTTGGGGGACGTCTGTGGGACCTATAACGATGCAAAGGAAGAGACTTTATAAAACCTTGAAAATTATGGACAACCCTGACCGTCCTCTTCATAACTCACTATCATAACTCTTTGAAGAATCTTGAATTAAAATGAGTTAGAGCAACATATAATTTCCCTTTGGGATCTAAAAAGTATTTTTGAATCGAATTGAATGAGAAATTGTTTCAATATGGCATTCTAGTCTTGAGAAGCACCAAAACAAATTGCTTACCTTGACTGTAATTATACATAAAGCCAGAAGAGGGCACTGTGAGATAATCTGTTGAGCTTTATCCCCTATCAAATTTAGGAAAGAATAAAAAAAAAAGCACGAGAAAAATGAAACGACTATGTGAGACATCAAGGAGGTTTCTGAATGTTAGAGTTGACACCTGCTGTCGTATCTGATCTGCTTTGTGGTCCAGCAGAAACATGACGGTGTGCATAAAGGAACATGTTTTTTTTCTTTCATGTTTTGAATCCACATTAATAGAAATGTTTTCCTGAGGTTTTTGTATTGCTCTCAATGCTTTTTGAAGCTCTGTGCTTTGCTTGAAGCGCAGTAATACACAGCCGAGTCTCCAGGCTCGGCCTGGTTGATCTGCAGCGTGGTGCTCAGCGTCGACGGACGGGACATGGAGTATTTGGTGTCCTTGAATGGAGCTTCAATGGTTGAAATATCTTTACCAAGAGAATATGCCACTAATTCCATGCTGCCATTGCTTATTTGTCTGTACCAGTACATGTTCAGGTATTGATCGTCGTCTTGTTTACATTTTAAGTTCACATTCTGCTGACCAACTTCATGCAATAAAGACGCAGGCTGATCAATTATAACACCAATGGAAACGCCTGCAAAACAAAAGAATACAATTATTTTAAAGAATCAAAGACTATTTTGGCTGTTCTACTACTTAACATAGATATTCTTACCCGCACAGATAATTGCTGTGAAGAGAACCAAATTCTTTGGTGCATTCATTATAGATACAAAATTGGAGCCGACCGCTTCAGCTTTACCCTCTGCTGCTCACATAACCTTTGACTCTTCTCATTCCTTCCCAGAGAGCATTTAATGGGCTCCTTTGCGGACCTGGAGACACCTAGTGGCCAACAAGCTGCAACTGCAGCTAAAGCTTTTCAGCTGAGCCTCTGAGACATTGGTTCAGAGAAGACTTTCGTTACACTAAATTCAACATGCTTTTTTATTAACTGGGGGTGTCGAGAAGTCAAACACAGCATGATGAGAATCGGGATTCACAACATGACATTGTTACGTTTCCAGAACAGAAGTTTGTTCTGCATTAATGGCCTTATGCAGCTACTAGATAATTAGAGAATATACCTTGATCTTGCAGCCCAGTCCAAAACCCTAGAAAATAAACAGACATGAAAAAAAATTATTTATACTTATGATTGTCCAGATCTGATATCAGAAATTGGTCCGATATCAGCCAAAAAATGAGTTTTTAATTATTTCATTAAAATCTCAGAAGCACTTCTGTGTTCTCATACCTTCTATTAACTATTGCTCTCTGAGTAACATCACTTGATCAATGCATTCCAGATTACAAAATCATTGATAAAAGTATGTATGACACGTGCTGATATTGTATCGGGTCAATATCGGTATCGGCCGACACTCAAAACTGCAGTATTGATATTGTATTGGAAGTGAGGAAGTTGTATCGGGAAACACCTGAAATAATCTGAGAACTGTTTTGTGTATTTACTCAGGTTATTGTTGTCTGATGTTTTTTGATTATCTGAATCATGTCAATGTGACCAAATTTAAAAATGGATGATAAAAGTGAAATGTAAGGTTATCAGTATGACAGGTAAAGGTTAGCTAATACTGCATCATGCAACACTTCTCCCTAAAAATGGCTACAAATCTACAACAAAGTGTTTCTGCACACTTTAAGTTAGGGTTTACATAACTTCACAGTGTGGTTAGGAACAGATATCCTTTATGACGTCCTGATACATGAAACATGAGTGGAGCCACAGCTCCTTCCTGCCTCTGTCGTAGCCAGCCTTGTATTTGTACGAGTGTTGGGTCTGCGTGCCTCACTGTGCCTGGCAGCGCAGTAGTAGATGCTGCTGTCGTTCACTGTCAGCTCTGGAATACTGAGAGAAAAATTGTTTTTCGCAGCATCGAGTGACGAACGGTAGCGTCCAGCCGTTGTTTCATATTCTGTGAGAAGAAGCTGTATTTCAGCCCCGTGGCGGTTCTGTCGGTACCAGAGCATGGTGTAGCTGCTCATGGAGTACCCGGCGCCCACACTGCACTCCAACGTCGCATCAGCATCCGAGGAAAGGATTTGATCTGCAGACTGGAGCACCGTAACGGAGAAACCTGCAGCATACGAAGAGGAGAGTTTCAACGTGCTCAATGCTCGGACAAATAAATGTATTTCAATTTAGGGATGAATTTTTCAATGAAATCCAAATCTGCACCCACCGGATGTTACCAACAGGGACAGAAAAATAACCGTGAGAAGCATGTTACCGATCAGTGGTCCTGATCTGACTGAAACGGCTGCAGAGATCGACTGAACAAAAAGTCATATGACCACGACAGGAAGTAAAATCTGCTGCTGCCGTAACACCAGCTGAGAATTTAAACAAATAATTAATTTTTACCAGCATGAACTGAAACATTTATTTATTGCATTTTTGCAAGTTTTTTTCTTCTGCAAACTTGGTATCTTTTCTTCCAAGGTACAAGCAAAATGAAAATGAAGTTTTAGTAAGTAACATGCCACTGATGAAGTCGACTGATTTTAACCAATAATATTGATGATAATTTGGATTTATTTTATTTTGGTAAACTAGAAATATGCAGATTTAACAGCTAAATTTCCAACAAGTCTTATACAGACACATTTTGAAGTTTGTAATAATCAAAATTAGTCAATTTTACCACATTTTCAACATTATTTGACAATAAGACAATAGCATTTATATCAAATTAGTCAATTCAGAATCATCATCCACAAGCTGCTGCTAAGAAAATGTTTCATGGGTCTAAATGTGAGAAAATGAAGGGAGTATTGTTGAGAGCCTCTAATAGCAGGAGTTTTGGTTGGTGATTTTAGGAGATGATACTAAAAGCTGTTATTGATTTATAAACCCAGGAAACGGAAACCCAGATCCAAATAATTTCAAATTTAACACAAAAAAATGACAAAAAACATTTATTCAAGAATACTTCAAAATGCCAATCTGAGATTTTTTTTGTGGATTTTACCTGGCAGCAATTTACTTTTTATTGAATTTTAATAGGATAAACTAGGCATATATAAGCTGAGTAGTTCAGTCTGCACCTTTTTAATCCACTAGATATTATTTATTTTTATTCATCTTTGTTTTGAATTTCATTGAGTCCAGTTGAAGTGTTGATTGACTGTAACAACTATTATTATGTGTGTCTGTTTTAGATTGTATAAGTTACTAACTACTTAGAGTTTATTCGCAGCTTAAATAGAAGAAAAACAAGCATTAAAAAACAAGCATCATTTCAGTGAGCAAAGACACTAAATCAGTCACACATCAGTTGATACATCAGCATTTCAACCATCGTGTTTGTAGAAGAAACTGAGTTTTACCAACAAGAGATTTCATGAAGGCGGACGTTGTACAACAATGGCAGCATATGTGGTTCAGTTATTAATTATGTCACTGAAATATTTGTGTTTGAATATTAAACATTGCAGAATGGTGGAGGAGATCGTCTTGGTTTTATCTGCTTTCAGAAGGAGTTCTGTATAAGTTGCTCTACACCAAGTTAAAAGCCGGTTGTGGGAGGCTGAGTGTCCTGTAGGAAGAACACAGTAAATAATGGTATCATCTGCAAAACAATGAACAAATATCTTCTATCTACCGATTCTGGGTGGTATTAGTACTCATGACATGAGGTTTTTGTTGGTTTTTTCCCCCCTTCAACTTTCATTTGCTGTCACATGCCTCTGGTTTCCTGCTGGGCTGCGGTTACCAGCTGGATAACTCTGAAGGTTTTTGTATGGCAGAGTCTCTCTCTTTTAATGCTGTGTATATACGTGTGGCCCCAAAATATTCTCCACTGTCTTCTGGGTTCCTCGGGTTCAGGATGTGAAGCTGAGCCATCTTCTCTCCATCTCCGGTCACCTGAAAGTGGCTTTTAAATTCCGACTCCATAGTGACGCTTGTATAATAGACGTAGCCGATCAGCTTCAGGGAAGTGTCTCCCGGTGAGCGCTGATACCAGAGGATTGTGTCATAGCTTTTGATTGTATGAGTGAAGGTCAGGTTGACTTTGTTGTTTGGTCGGACCAAAACGTCCGCCGGAAACTGAGACACTTGCTTTTCTTTGCTGAGGTAGACTCCTGAGAAAAGATTGGAGGTTTAGATTTTTAGGAGTTAATTGCACCAGCAGTACTTGCAAGTCTACATATTTACGTTACTAATATAAAATAGTAAAAAAAAATACTGCTTTGATTAATAAACAATCAATACCTTCAATCCAGCAAGCGATGGTGATGAAGACAACAGATGGCTTCATGTTGGATGCCAAAAACCAGCTGTGTCTTTACCTTGAAGGAGGGATAGGAAGTGATGAACTTTTGGGGCGGTTTTTGCGTTGGACTGAGCTCCAAAATACAGTCTGTCGTTGAGTCAGATATGGTTCTTGTGAGGGAGGTCTCTCTTGTGACAGATCCAGTGACTCCGCCTTCTAGTTGATCAGAAACTGGTCTTCTGATGTCACGTTTTCAGCCCAATTCATCGTGTTTGGAATGCCAGCAAAGTAGGAACAACGTACCAGTCTCTGGTCGTAACCCAACTCTAACCCTCGTATAAAACTATGGTAACCAAGAAGAACCAAGCTGAGTTGGTACAAAAGAAAAAGGGGTATGAATGCTCAGCAGGGAACCATGAGCAGTACAAGAGTTTGTTTATCGGAAAATTGTTGAATGCTAAAACCAATGGAAAAAGGAATTTGTTGTGATGGCTGCTGGGCTCTGTCTAGATTCAGAGAGGAGATACCATGAGGCCGTAGGTTGGAGGTTTTTGTGTGAATACCTGAAATACCTTTTACAAACAAATGGTGTTCCAGTGTGCTTCCATTGCAGCGCAGAAGCAAGTCGCCGTGTGTTCGGCTGTCAGATTGACGATGGAAAGGGAGAAGTTTGTGGCCGTCTTTAAATCTCCACCTAATTTAAAATGTTTCCTGTATGTTTGTTCCCCTCTGTCATCACTAAACTGGCTGTATCCGTAACCAATGAGTTTCAGAGCCTCCAGGGTTCTGCTGGTACCACAGGATGACTCTGATATCCACCAGGTCCTGCAAGCAAAAAAGCTGAGCATCAGCCTTGGTGTTACTGACCACATTAGGGGGAAACTGATGGATGTGAACCCCAAGAGAGAATCCTCTAAAAACAAAAAAAGAACTCAAATTGGTTGAACAGTGAAGCAAAGTATAAAATAATTTTGGAAGTGAATTGTTCACAGTACCTGTGAGGGAACAGAAATGAAATCATTTTGCTCCTTAAGCTGATTTAGCTGAAATGATGATGAGTTGGATGAGATCACTTGAGGAAATGACATCAGAGTCACATGACAGACCAGGAGCAGACACTTTTATGGTTCCTACTTTATAATGAACAAAATGTTTCTTTGAATAGTGTTAGATTTTTTATTAGAAATCTTTATACAAAAGTATAAGGCCACACAAAACTTGTGCCTTATTTTTGCTTTACAGTGCCCCCTACTGGCGTAAAAACAGAAAATAAAACAAAGGTCAAATGTAATAACCATAATAAAAGTAATAATTATTAGACATTGTAAAGAAAAAAAAGTATCAAGTTAAAAGAAACTGGATTAAAAATAAACATCAGCGGAAATGAATGCATAAACTTTGGTTTGGAATATTGCATAAATAAATCTCGTAATTATGTAATTTACAATTTATAATCTTTATAATTTTTTATACTTAAAAATTCTTCTGATATTTGTTTCAAATTCTTACTAAATTTGAAGCCTTCATTTGCACAAATGATTTTTAAAAACTCACATAAATGCAGTGATGATGTTGTATATAAATGTTTGTGTGTATTTGTGTGTGTAGCGAGCAACAGTGGGTTTTCAGTCTGTGGTAAAAATGTTTAATTCAAACAAAGTGACTCAGATATTTAGTCTGTGTTTTGAATCTTCCTTCTTTCCAACCACAGAAGCAGGTGCTTGAAAGACGTTTAATCATTTTTCTATAAAAACCACTGATGATAAAACACAGCTCAGTTTTTGTTGAGGTGCAGAGAGGATTTCTGTCATTGTGCTTCTCTTGCAGCACAGTAGTAAACGGCAGAGTGATCCTGTTTCACGGTTTGGATCGTCAGGGATCCGTTCTTCGCCGTATCCCCTCCCAGGTCTCCAGAGATCCCAAAGTCCTTTTTATATCCGTCTTCGATAGTCGGATCTTTGAAGTACAAATATCCGATGAGCTTCATGGCCGTGTCTCCAGGCGACTGTTGGTACCAGAGGATCACTCTGTAGTCGGTTCTTTCATGGGTGCAGAAAATGTGAACTTCATCACCAGCTTTTTTGATGAGATCAGAGTGGGACTGATGGACCTCAAGCCCCAAACTGAGACCTGAGAACAGGAGAGAATTTGGAGAGACATAACAACTCATTTCACATCCTAAGGAAACAATCGTTTAAGATGATGCTGCTCTGAAGCAAAATTACTTGCGAGACATGAGAAGACAAATATGCAGATCATGTTTCCTGCTCAGGGTAAAGGAACTGCTTAGAAATGTCCTGCAGTATATGGGTCTGCTGTCGGGTGTGCAGCCGAAAGATTTGCTGCTGTTCAACAGAGATAGTCATCCTCAAGAGGAAACGGAAGTGATGATGAAGCACCACCCCTTAAAGTCTAAAGATCCAAAGTTCAGCCTCGGCCTGTGAGCAGATTTCTCTTTAAAATCTCATTTCAAATCTTAATGCTCAGGATTTTTACAAAACAGAGTTTATTCAGTTGATCTGGACTGTAAGGAATCTCCTACCTGTCAAACCCCAGAGAGAGATTAATTTATGGTCCTGCTTGTCCTTGTAGAGTTGGAGGACGTCTGTCTGCAGCAGTCATTAGGCGACAGTAGAGGTGAGAGTCTGAATGGCAACTCTAGTTGCATTTCCATTACCAATGTGTGCAAAACTTTGTCGACATTCTGCTGATCTAAAAAGAAAAAAAAAGTTTTCTCAATTATGGTCTTTCCATTAAATAAGAGACATAGTTAAAATGACATGGGTATAAGTCTGTTAAGGCAATAAGTTATTAAAATGTGCTGCGCCATCATCATACTACCACTTCCTGTTGTCGTCTGTCGTTTCCGCCAGTAGTAACATCTGGTTGTTGATCATGTGACTTGTGTGGTGGGAAAAAACTGATTCCATTGCGGCTTTGTAAAATACAGAAATGTTGATAGCGCAATAACTTTATCAAAAAACGTAAGCTTCTTTGAAATTGTCATTTCCATTAAGAATATTTCTTTCATAATTCCAATTTTCTCAATTATAAGGCCAGTGGAGACGCCTCTACAGAGACGCAGCACATGCACACTGCAGAACAATCAACTTATCTTATTTTGACAGGTAATGTTTAGCAAATTCACAGCATTTTGTTCCCACATTCTGTCAGTTTACAAGCAAAAACTTGGATGCCAATGTAGCTGTTATGTTATGTGATAAACACAGGAAACACTTTTTTCCCCCCCAGACATATAATAAATCTGACAAGTATGTACATTTGTGTTGGTTTGGATTTGGACCCAAATGCAGGAAGAACCGGAGGCAGTGATATGATTTAAGAAACTTTAATGTAGAATAATAATCAAAGTTGGAGAAAGCATGAAGAGATTCAGGTCTGTAAACTGTCCCTTTGCTTTGAAAGGATAGTTGAGATGTAACATGCGATTGTGGTTGGAAGACTCCTAAGTTTTGTTCAGACAATCCTGAGGCTTTTCTGAAGCCATGATGGGATTATTCTGTTTTTATTCTGAACAGGAAATCTAAATCCTCTGCTTTCACGCAGTTTTATGAGTTATTACAACCACAAGCAGGTGTCAGTTTTCTATAAAAACCACTGATGATAAAACACAGCTCAGTTTTTGTTGAGGTGCAGAGAGGATTTCTGTCATTGTGCTTCTCTTGCAGCACAGTAGTAAACGGCAGAGTGATCCTGTTTCACGGTTTGGATCGTCAGGGATCCGTTCTTCGCCGTCTCCCCTCCCAGGTCTCCAGAGATCCCAAAGTCCTTTTTATATCCGTCTTCCATAGACGGCTTGTCGTAGTACAAATGTCCGATGAGCTTCATGGCCGTGTCTCCAGGTAGCCGCTGGTACCAGAGCATCACTCTGTAGTCGGTTTTTTCATGGGTGCAGAAAATGTGAACTTTATCTCCATTTCTTGTGATGAGATCAGAGTGGGACTGATGGACCTCAAGCCCCAAACTGAGACCTGAGAATAGGAGAGAAGATGTTGATTGTTCTTTTGGGGAAACAAACCGTAAGATGTTCCTGTTCTAGAGGAAAACTTACCTGCAAGGAAAGAGAAGATAAAGATTTGGTTCATTTTTCTTGCTCAAATGAACATTTGTTTGGATGGTTTCTGCAGCACACTGAACAGCTGTTGAGTGTGTAGCTGATGAAGGTTTCTGGCGTTTCAGAGGTGATGATGAATGATATTCTTATAGTGATGGGGAGTCAACCTGTAGCTCAACAGGAAGCGGAAGTGACGATTCCTGCATCATCAAGTCAAAGGAGTCAGTCAAAGTTCAGCTGGGAAGAGAATGTCTAAATTCAAAGCATAATGCTTGATGGTTTTTGAACAAAGTAAATGAAAACTTGTGTTTTGTATGATTAGCATTTCAATAATAAAACTGGAAATATATGTTTGATATTATTTGTTACACAGCCAGAAACACAAGGTTAATGACTAGAAGTAACCTTGTGTCTCCTTCATGTTGATTTATGAAAACAGCAGAAAAAAAATGTAAAGTCATGAGTCTCAGAACAGAAAAAAACATCCATCTTTTCTTCACCTTCTGATAAACTTTAATGGTAATCATCTTCATGTAAAAATAGGATAAAAATACTGCGTGTTGCAAATTTCTTCTGCAAACATTGAACTTGAACTTAAACTTAGAGTGGTGGAGCACCTTTGGGATAAATTGGAGCGGAAGCAGCAACCTTTCTGTTCCAACATTAGAGACTGATCACAAACATTCCCCAAACCTTTCCTGAATAGTTGAGGCTGTTTATAGCTGAAAATGTTGGTTCAAATCCATCGGAAACCCTTTCTGTTGAGAGTTTGTATGTTTGTAAAAGTCTCAATGCTTCTTGTATCATTTATTGAGCCTCACTGCCACCTACTGGAGAGTCACAGTAGTGCAGATGTGGGTTTCCTATTAACTGTTGTATTGGCAGTCGGTTTTTGTTCAGCTGTTGTATTTCCTCACATCACTGTGTTTGCTGACAGCACAGAAATAAATGCCGCTGTCATCAGGCTGCAGGTCCTTCACAGTCAGAGCTCCGGCCTCTATGGAGTCTTTGACTGCTGAGTATTTGCTCTGCAGGTTCTCTCCGTAGTCTGGCTGCCCACCGAACGCCGTGTACACAATGAGAGTCATGGTCTCCCCTGGTCGCTGTCGGTACCAGTACATCTGGGTATGAGTGATAAGATTTTTGTGGCTGCATTTCATTTCTGCGGACTTGGACTTAAAACTCCAGCTGATTGTTGGATCCTGGATGACGTCCTGGCAGTGAACTGTGAGGAGACAGAAGGACATTCAGGAACTCTTTAAGTGTTTGAATCAACAAACGTAAAAGTCCAATCAGATGCTTCGGAGTAATACCTTGCTTCTTTGAAAAAAAGAGTATAAATATGATGAGAACTTGAGATATCATTTTGAATTACATCTGTCAGCTTCTATTGATGTGGTCTAAGGATGCTGCACTGAATTTCTGAGGGAGGTTAAATACTGTGTTGCTTCAAGAAGATCCTCCCCTTTTAGAGAGAGAGAGACATTTCATTAGAATGAGTTGTGTGACAGTGTGAGTCATAATAATAGAAACAAGGGGAGGTTTTTGTACTGAGGAGCAGTAAGTTGGAGCACTGTGGTAGCGAGCGGCACAGAAGTAAACCCCGCTGCTGTTTGGGTTGAGGACTTCGAGCGTTAATGTGCAGTTCTGGTCTTTTTCTGCGTTCCCACCCAGCTTCACACCCAGCCCGGCTTCGGGATTATCCATGTTTTTGTACATGTGTCCCAGGAACTGGAGCTGGGTCGACTGTTTGTACCAGAGGACCCGGTCGTAGTTCGGAATAGTGTGTGAACATTGTATGATGGCAGATTCCCCCGGCTTTCCAAGGATGTGATCAGGAACCTGGTAGACCTGGTCACTGAGAGACGAACCTGGGAGAACAAAACCAGACAGATAGACGGAAACCTTAAGCTGAAAGGTCTTTAAACGTTACAGCACAGAACGTAAAATATCTGTAGCAAAATTTAGAAAGTATTTTACCTGAAAGTAGAAAAAAATCGAAGCTGATATAAAAGAAAAGAATCATTGTATTGTAATTGGTCAAGTCAATACAGTAACAATAAATCCAACATCAACCTAAAAGCATCCAAGCCCAGAGGAGGCAAGTTGTCTACTGTTCTTCTCAACACTGAAACTGCAGTATTGCCTTAAAATAGAGTATGCTGCCACCTAATGGTAGGATGTGAAACTACATAAAGTTTAACCTAAATTATCGCTGTAAAATTCCAAATTAAAGGCATATATTTGTAAAACAAACTTTTCTCGCAAAAGTGTTTATGTGAACTTTTTCAAATGTTTTTCAAACTACAACTACAAAAATTGAATGTGTTTAATTGGGATTTTATATAATAAAGCAACACAAAGTAGTGCAAACACTTCACTCATAAAACAGACTGGAGTCCCATCTTCTGTTTGGTAACTTTATTTACTGACTCCACGTTTCTAATCACATTTCTGGATCCTCCACCCACTGTGAGCGACTTCACTGAATGAAGAACAAACTTGTCTTAACCAAAAGTTCATCAGACACAGACCAATGGTTTTTGATGGTTTAATATTCAAATAAATTGATATTGAAAAATGTTTCTTTTACCTGATTATTTTGTAATGTTTATTACTCACATTTTGATCCTTAAAACACCCAAATTTTCCCTTAACTATATAATTTGGTCCGTCTGAGGATGCAATTTCCAAATATTAAATCAAATGCTTTGATCAGTTCCTCTGTGATTGAGTCGCCTTTTTACCAAACACTTTTTTTTTTACTCGAATTTCCTGCAACTTTTTACCTTTACTTGAGTAAAAATATGTTGAAGTAGTGCTACTCTTGTGTACATTTTTTTTTTTTGCTACTCTACCCACATTTGGCTTGTATTAGCTTTAAACACCTGGAGACTGAAATCTTTTCCTGATCAACTTTGCAAAATACCTTGAACTCGGTCAGATTGGATGGAGTGCAGCTACGGAAAGCCTTCAAGTCTTTCCAAACTGGATTTAGATCTAAACTATTCGGTTTTATCTTTCCTAGTGAGAGTTGTTGTTTAACACCTTCTGCATGTCTGCTTTAGAAATGCAGGGTAACGTTAGCTGGAGGTAATGAAGCAGCTGTAACGATCAGTAAGCTGCTGGCCTCAGATGAAAGAAATCTGCCGTTTGGAGGTTTTTGTACAGAGAAGCAGAGACATGCAGCACTGTGTTGACTAGCAGCACAGAAGTAAACGCCGCTGCTGCTCGTGTTGACTCCCTCGATCGTTAAACTGCAGGTTTCCCCTTTAGTTGCTCCTCCATTTATCTTCACATTGGCTCCTGTCTCTGGATAGCCATCGTTGACGTTCATGTACCCCAGGAGCTGCATCTGATGGTCCGTCGACTGTTTGTACCAGAAGATCCGGGTGTAGTCCTGAATTTCATGTCTGCAGCTGATTTGCGGTTTATCTCCAGTTTTGCAGAACTTTTCAGAAGGAGTCTGGTGGACTTGGTCACTGAGAGAAGAACCTGTTGATTTAATTAATTTATTTTAATTGTTAAAACTGTAATTGCACACATTAAATCAGAATGATTGTAGACGGGGAATTTTTTTTTTACCTGAAACAAACATAAGATGACAGATTATGCAGAAGATGACGATCATGATGTTTACTTTTCTCTGTTGGTTTAATCTTAGTAGCTCAAACAATCTGGATCACAACAAACCTAGAAGACTTGTTCCAGTCTGAGACGGTGAGATGAGTTTCTGTGGCTCCTCCTCTGTCAAATAAGGAAACCAATCACAGATCAACAAGTCAAGGTTACATGTATTTCACATTTTAGCAAAAAGGCAGTTCAAGTCCTTTACACCAGTGGTCCCCAACC